CAACTGCCCTCCCTTTCAGGCCTGGTCCCTCCCAACTGCCCTCCCCTGCTGGCCATCTTGTGTCCACACGGGGGCGGCCATCTTGTGTGTTGGAGTGATGGTCAATTTGCATATTACCTCATTATTAGACAGGATTTATTTTTTTAAAAATGCCATTAAATCTTTATTGTTAAAAGTATTTCATATGTCCCCCCTTTTCCTCCACTGCCCCTTCCAACCTGCTCCCACCCCTGCCCCAGGCCTTTACCACCCTATTGTCTGTGTCCATGGGTTATGCACATATGCATGCAAGTTCTTTGGTTGATCACTCCCCCCACCCCCACCTTCCCTCTGAGATTCCACAGTCTGTTCTATGGGGATCTATTTTGTTCATCAGTTTATTTTGTTCATTATATCCCACATATGAGTGAGATCATGTGATACTTGTCTTTCTCTGACTGGCTTATTTCACTTAGCATAATACTCTCCAGGTCCCTCCATGCTGTCTCAAAGGGTAAGAGGTCCTTCTTTTCTACTAGTGTTTTTTAGAATTAAGAGCAGAGACCAATAAATGGCACAATCTCCAAATGAGTAAATTATAAAGTTCACAATTAAAATGGATAAAGAAGCAAAGAAAAATTAAAAAATTAAGTTCTGTTAGCTCAGGATGTAATGGTTTCTTAAGAGAGCTTCCTATTTCTTCAACACTAAAAAGCATATCATATTAAGTCAAACCTGTCTGCCATGCCGTTCTCTGCCTCATTTCCTTGTGGGCTCCATGGGGTCCCAGTAGAGGGGCCCTGGGTGGGTAGCCTCCTCTAGAGCAAGGGGAAGAAGGGAACCCTCAGCCCCCTAGGGACTCACATTTTTGCTAATTCTAGCCCCAGGTCAGGATGCAGGGCTGAGAGAGGGAGTCCAGGAGCCCCTCATCTCTCCCTTCCCTCCTGTCCTCTTGCAAGGACACCGTAACAGAAAAGGTGTGGGGTGGGGGCCCCAGTTCCTTCCTTGAAGTAGCTGGCAGGGAGGCCTGAGGGAGAGTGAGGGTCTAGTACACCACCCTAAGGTCACAGCTGAGCCTGGGGGCAACCCTGAGGGGCCCCCAACACTAGGAGATAAAAGCCTTGCAGACAGAAAGGAGGCAAAATCCCCAGCAAAGGGCTGAGGGAGCTATCTACAGAAGTGAAACAAAAGCTACATGGCAAGGGGTATGTTCTCAAGGTCGCTGGGCTCCAGAGAGCAAGGCCCCATTCAGCAGTGCCGGACAGAGATCAGCTGAGGCAAAGCAGTCATTGTGCAATCTAGAAAAGCAGGGCCATGGAAGCAGGAAGGTGGGTCCCCAGGCAGCCCATTCAGACACTCCTATGCAGGTGGAGCTGGGAATAAATACATGCATTGAACAGCTGACTGCATTGTTTTCTCTCAATGGGGGCTTTAGGAAACTAATCTGGTACAGGCCAGGGGGTTTTTATCCCAAATAAATGGTATCCTCACCCTATGCCCACCCCCTACCCTCCAGCAAAGGGTCAGATGGGGTCACTCCAGCATAACCTGGTGTCTGTGCCAGACTAGGGGTATACCCAGAGCTCCCATGAAACGCCAGTGACCTGAGCCTGCAGACTATACTCCACAAGCCACTTCTCCTCCTCAGGCCTCTGGGGCAATCAAGCTGCCCACTCCTCTCAAGGCCAGGCTCCAGCAGGCACCAATCTCAGCTTCCACAGTTGGGGCTAGAGAAAGGAGAGCAGGGGACAAGGCCAGATGCCCCAAAGCACACAGCTTGGGGGGAACGTGAAAAAATGTGTGTGACCCCACCTACCTGCTCTCCAGGGTTTGCTCTGCAAAGGGGAGGTCATCTCAGAGCTATGACTTCCTGTGCCCTAATTACCCAATATTAGTTTTAATACCACAGCCAAGGAGGTGGTGAATACTCTGTGTAGGAAGAACATAAAAATCAAATGGAGACAATTCTACTGGCTTCGCTGAGCTCCGGAGGCAAGAAGCGTCCTTTTTAGTTTGTCAGCAGATTCCCACTCCTGGCAGGAACAGTTCTGAGGGGTCGAAAAGAAGGCATGGCCCAAGCTCTCTGCTCCCCAGCTGGAGGCATGCATAGGAGTTGGCAAGGGATATCCTAATCCCAGTTCCCAGGCCAGCAGGGGATGAGAGCCACAGTCAGGGCCAGAACCCAGCTTCCTGCCAGTCTGTCTGCCCAAGGCTGATTCAGCAACGCCCAGAGCCCAAGCAGCTAATGTCCTGAACTGAGATGACCTGAGAGGGGCCGGGATAATCATCGAGAAAATCGACCACTGCTGAGTTCTGTGGGCGGGGCATCTAAATCATCAGAAACAGTCACCCTTGTAGCTTTGGGACAGAAAGGCCTGGACCAAGAGTAAAGATGGTCACATCACACATTGTATGCCTGCAATAAGAATAGCAGCAAATCTTTTTAACCCATTCATAGGCCAGGCTGGGACATTTGGGTGCCTAAGGGAAGGTATGTCTTGGTGCCACAATGTCTTGGTGTTTTCACCATAAAATGCCAGCCTGACTCAGGGGCTCTTTCATGCCACTTTATCTCCCCAGTCTCACAGAACAAATGCCAATGTCATCTCATTTTGATTCTGTTTTCATTGGTGGAACAACTAATGACATTTAAAATCAAACATGATCTGTCTTCCCTAGAAAACCCAGCCCCTGGCCTAGAGGAAAACCTCACCGTGCATCCCAGGCCACCTCCGTACCTGTCGTCTGGTCCACAAGGACTCGGGAGTTGATGATTCGCCCGAATCGAGAGAACATGTCCTCCACATCCTTCTGGGTCATGGTCCTGGGGAGCCCGCTGATGTACAAGTTAGCGTCTTTGATGACCTCTGAGCTTGGGCGAGCATATGACACCTTGAAAATAAAACCACTTTCGGGGGTTAGGACAGGTGTGTGGCCAAAGCATCAAGGAAGGGTGTTAAATTTTGGGGTGAGAAAAAGCCAACCTATGGTGGGAGAACACGCAAACACACATCACCTGAGGCAGCTCCCCATTGACCAGGCAATGAGCTGATAGCTGGCAGCATTTTCATATTTCAATGAAGGGAACATTATTCCTGTTTTATAAAGTAAGTAACTGAAGGTCCACAGTTTGTTGGTGGCAGAGCAGGGACTGAACCCTGTTACCTGTGCACTTACCAAGGCCTTATCCCTCTCTGGATGATGAGCTGGGCTGGGAACAAGACCTGCCTATGCGGAGTGGTGGGCAAGAAAGCTGGGTGCTGCTGGGAATGCAACATTCACCTGCCAATAGGCAAGCTCACCACAGGAGCCCAGATGGGGACGTGAGTGCTAGGGGAGCCCTGAGTTCCACACGCAACTGTTCAATATTAAATGACTCTAGGCCTTTTGGGCTTATGTTTTGCAAACTTGAAGAAAGCCTAAAAGGAACTTTTGTAGTGGCTTAGAGAAAATGGCATGCATGTAATAGAGGTGGTGAGAGGCTGCAGGGGCTGATGGTAAGAAAAGGTCTTTGGTCCTTTCTTCAAAGAAAAGGTTACTGAAGAAAAAGTGACAGCTGTGTGGACCCTGCAGGCCACAAGGAGGGACCAAGGTCTCATTGGAAAGGGGCAGCTTGGAGGAAGGCTTCTGCCCACAAAGGGGCAATCTAGGGGCAATCTCAGTCACACCCAACATAGTCAGAACTGAGTGAGGAGGCTGAGAGACAGAGACGGAAGGGGAGGAAACAAGAGAACCGTGTGCTCCAGAACTTTCTCTCTGAGGGTCACAAAATTGATGTGATGAGGAGCCTGAAACCATAACACAGGAGCAAATATGAACTCTTTTTTTTTTAATTTCAAGTATAAACTCTTGTGTCACTGGGCAGCATGAGGGCATGGACAACAGGTGTGTTCTTACCAGAATGCTCAGTCCTGCTAGGAAGGGCAGGAGTGTAGTTCTACGTGCCAAGAACACTCCCCACCCAGCTCTATGAGGGCATGGTTTGTCTGATTTGTTCAACATAGTAGGTGTTCAATAAACATGTGCTAAGTGAATGTCGAATGAAGTGGCTGTGATGGGGCTGGAAGGGTGACAATGCTGTGCCACTACAGTATGCCAGGAGCGGGGAAGGCAGGGCATGAAAATGGGGGTGCACAAGAATGGGAATGTCACAGCCAGACATGAGACAGGCAGGGGAGGCCTGGGCCGAGAAGGGGGCTCCCCTCTCTACATGCTCTTCATGGGGAACCTCCTTTTACTGGTGGGGCAAGGAAGCCATGAGCAACGGCATGAGGCCTGGAATGGTCACCACTCAACACACATGTGAGATGCCAATACCTCAATTTGGGGCAGTCAGGAGGCTCCCCAGAGGCCCTGGAAGAACCAGGTTTCTGAGATGCTAATAGTGCCCTTGACAGTGATGGTGAGGTAAGTCAGGTTTGGCACAGATTCCAGCCCAGGACAGGATTGAATGAGGTGGTGCTCACCACTCTTTACCTTAATGGTTTTGGACTGGAGCCGCAGGCCATTCAGTGTGTTTATTGCTTTCTCCGCGTCCTTTGCAGTCACATAGTTCACAAAGCCATAGCCCAAGCTGTGTCCTGTGGGAGAACATGTGCACACTGGTAAACCAACCAAGAGAGACCAAGAGGATGAAAAGGACTATGCCCTCCTATGTCTGGCTGGGCTCAAAAGAATAAGGTCAGAGAAAAGACAAAAAACACAGGAACCTTAAGAGCCAGGGTCTGTAGGAAATGTGTTTATAATTTATATTAATGGTTTATTTATTACTGTTTTTTAATATATATTTTATTGATTTCAGAGAGGAAGGGAGAGGGAGAGATAGATAGAAACATCAATGATGAGAGATAATCATTGACTGGCTGCTTCCTGCGCAACCCCCACCAGGGATCAAGCCCACAACCCGGGCATGTGTCCTGACCAGGAATCGAACCATTACCTCCTGGTTCATAGGTTGATGCTTAACCACTGAGCCATGCTGGCCTGCCCGGCTATATTAATGGTTTATTTGGTACACTTCTTTGGCAAACTTACACATTTTCTGCAAAGAACAAATGTTACTTCTGTAATTTAAAAAAGTTATTTAAAAAGAAAAACTGTGCTACTGACTACATCCTGGGGAACCCATCACTAAAGCAATGACAATGATTGGTCCCACTAGTGATGGCTACTCTGTGGGGTTCTGAGGGGCCTGGGTCTGAGAAGGGGAGAAGGACGGTTACAGGCAGCAGATAGGTAGACAGGCATTTCTCTACCACTTCATACCCCAAAGCAGGGAAAGCTTGCTGGGCTCTGGTGCCACCCAGTGTCAGTTTTCTTACTTTCCCAAATCTGCAACCCAGTGGGGAGCACAGGGAGAAGACAGCACTTAGAGAAGTTCCAGCCCTGCTGGGCAGCCCCTGTACCCCCTTCACAGCCTTGGCCAAGCTTGCAGGGCCCCAAGAACCTGAGTTCTTTCCAAAGAGATCCAAGGTTACAGGTAACATGTTCCAGCTCTTTATGAAACTTTTAGAAGTGGGAGTGACCATCAATTGGATACCCACAAGGGACTCAGCATAGAAGGTGAGGCTCTGTGGGTTCCCAGGAAGCCAGAGAGGAGCAAAGGCTGAGGGTCAGAGGTGGAAGGAGCCTTACACCTTCACAACAGGGGGAGCAGGAGGATACGCAAGGAAGAGAACCACCAATGTGCCCACATCTGACCCATGCACATGCCACATTAGAGGGCACCCACTACACACAGGCACTGCCCTGGGCAGAAATAGAGCTGTGTGTAAGACCAAGGACCACCTTCATTGAGTTTTGTTCCATTCCTCCAGTTGGCAGAGGGTTACAATGAGCAGATAAAAAATACAACCAGGGCGCCCGACTGGCCGGAGTGGCTCAGTTGATTGAACATCATCCTGTGCACCAAAAGGTTATGGGTTTGATTCCCGTTCAGGGTACATACCTAGGTTGTGGGTTTGATTCCCAGTTGGGGAGTATACAGAAGGCAACTGATCACCCAGTCAGCATGGCTCAATGGTTGAGCATCGACCTATGAACCAGGAGGTCACGGTTTGATTCCCGGTCAGGGCATATGCCTGGATTGTGGACTCAATCCCCAGCGTGGAATGTGCAGGAGGCAGCCGATCAATGATTCTGTCTCATCATCGATGTTTCTGTTTCTCTCTCCCTTTCCCTTCCTCTCTAAAATAAATAAAAAAATATATTTTTAAAAAAGCAACTGATCAATGTTTCTCTTTCTTTCCCTCCCTCCCTTCCTCTTTCTAAGCATGTCCTCAGGTGAGGATTAAAAAAATAAATAAATAAAAAATACAACCAGGCCCTGAGCCATACAGAGATGGAGATCCTCATTGCAGCTGTGCTGACTCAACCTGAGATGCCAGAGGAACCCAGGCCCATTTCTGTGATAATGAGACTTGGAACCCAGAGGACAGCTTCACTCAGTTTTGCCACTTAAAAAAAATAATAATTATTTTTTAAATTTAAAGAAAAATTACAAAGATAATGTAGAATTCCCATATACCCCACACCCAGTTTCCCATTAGTAACAACTTATAGTAGAATGGATAGAACGCTTGTTAACAAGTAATAAACCAGCAATGATACATTATTTTTTAAAAACTATATTTGTACTGATTTCAGAGAGTGAGGATGGAGAGGGAGAGAGAGATAGAACCATCAATGATGAGAGAGAATCACTATCAGCTGCCTCCTGCATGCCCCCTACTGGGGATCGAGCCTGCAACCCTGGCATGTGCCCTTGACCAGAATCAAACCCGGGACCCTTCAGTCAGCAGGCTGATACTCTATCCACTGAGCCAAACCAGCCAGACGATACATTATTATTAACTGCAGTTCACATTTGATTTCCATAGTATTTGTCTTTCCCTAATGTTCTTTTCTGTTCCAGGATGCCATTCGGAATCCCACGTAACATTTAGCTATCATGTCTCCTTAGGTTCCTCTTGGCTGAGACAATTTCTCAGACCTTCCTTGCTTGTGATGACCTTGACAGTTTTGAGGAGGGCTGGTCAGGAATGTTGTAGAATCCCTCACAATCTGGGCTTGTCAGATGCTTTTTCTCATGGTTAGGTTGGCATGATGGGTTTTGGGGAGGAAGATCACATAGTGCAATGAATGTCCTTCTCATGACATCAGGGGGTGCATGCTGTCAATGTGACTTATCACAGATGATGTTGACCTTCATCTCCCAGCAGAGCAGTCCGTTTGGCAGGTTTCTTCTCCACTGTAAGGTCATCCCCCAACCCCAAACAACAGGCTTTGGATGGAAGTCATGGCACAGCCCACATTTAGGGAATACCTTGTGGAATTCCACTCTGCCTCCTTCAGGGTAGAGTAGCTATATAAATTATTTATACAGCCGCTTTCTTTTTTAAAGAAACAAAAACAAAATCTGACCCTCCAGACCCATATTTTTAACAAAACCCCATGGACCTCAGAGACTCAGCTCCTGAGCCTGAACAGTGAGGACCCTGGAGAGGAGGGCTGTGGGGTCCAGGCCCATCTAGCAGGAGAGTCATAGCACAACTCAGAAAACTACAATCAGCTCCAGATCAGGGACTTAGGGTCCCTGCAAACATTCCAGACCACAAATGTGAGAGCTGAGGATGCAGAGGAGGTCTGTGGTAGATTCCCAACCAAACTCCAGCCTGCCTGGGATTTTTATGCCCAAACGCTTGCTCTTCAACTTCACTCTGTTGGTCTCTCACTGTAGCCAGGCCAAGAGTCTGTCCTTTCTGACCCAGCCTTGGACAGGCTCCTCCACTCCTCCCTGATCAGCAGCACCTGCACACCGGTCTCCTTGTCTTTCTGCTCCTCCCACAAGGCCAATTCCACCCAGTACCACCAGTCTTCTTCCCTACTGGTGCCTCAAGTGGTCTAAGCAATGTGGAGAAACCAAACACCAGTGTAGACTCACACAGGCCCTGTTCCTGTGTCTTCAACTACAGCGGCTCCTCTCAGCATATAAACATGGGCCTTGCCCCACCTCAGTGCTTGGTGGCCCTGGCTGGCTCCCTAGAGTGGTCACTGCTGACTGCAAGCACTACACTCACCAAGGCTGTCCATGGCCCTTTGGTGCTGCCCATGGACAGTTTCAGGACCCAGCTCCCTGAGCTCTCAGCTTGAAGTGCCACCTCCTCCAGGATGTGACAACAGTGCCAAGTTTTCTTTCTCCCCAGCTGTCCCTCTTCAGGTTCTTCCTCTGCCAATTTCATCAAGATGGTCCCCAAGGCTCTGCCTTTGGTCCTTTATCTCCATCAGTCTTCCTGGGTGACCTCTCTGACCAACTGTGTGCCTGCACCTTCTAATGTCACCTAGGAAGTTGCACACCCTTAGATGGCCACTGCCTGCCTCCCTTTCCTGTTCCTACACCCACTCCAGTTTTCCTGAATGAGTCCACCAATAATAACTGAGCACCTAGTATGTGCCAGATTCCAGGTTAGGTTGGCTGGGTGGGGTGGGGTTTTGATGATGATCAGAAAGGAGGAAGCTTCTACCTTTATAAAATTCATATCCCAGTGGGCAAATTGGACAGCAAACCAGCAAGAAACAAACCACTGCATAGGTGCTAGGAGGAGAATCTTTCTGGTGGTGAGAGGCTGACAGGATGGGCCCTCAGTAGACAGGGTGGACAGGAGCACCCTTTGAGGAGGTGATATTTGAAGCAAGACCTCTGGATAGCTGAGGACAAGCATTCCAGACAGAAGAGCAAGTGCCAAGTCTCTGAGGTAGAGACAATGAGTATGTTCCAGGAAATGGGGGAATGGACCAGAGGTGGCTGCTGGTTGGAAAGCAGATGCAGTAGGTCAAGCTAGGATCCTGTGGAGTCTGTGAGCTTGAGCAGTGTGCACCAGAGAGGGGGCAGCAGAAGGAAGACCCACAGAGAAGACCTGCAGATAGGCTGATGCCGGAGAGAGCTTCAGAGGAGCCTAAAGTGCCAGCACTCCTGGGATGGGCTGAGCCTTCTGGGGCCAGGTGGGGAGGGATCTCTGCATACCCGTCCCCAGGGCTGGCTCTATCCCCTCAATCTGTTCTACCCTCTGTAGTGGGCACCTGTGTGCAGCAAGAAGAAAGGCGGTGGAGGAACAAATGGGAGTCCCTGGCTTTCACCCAATTGATGATGCTGTAGAGCAGTGATGGCGAACCTATGACACGCGTGTCAGAGGTGACACGCGAACTCATTTTTTTGGTTGATTTTTCTTTGTTAAATGGCATTTAAATATATAAAATAAATATCAAAAATATAAATCTTTGTTTTACTGTGGTTGCAAATATCAAAAAATTTCTATATGTGACACGGCACCAGAGTTAAGTTAGGGTTTTTCAAAATGCTGACACGCCGAGCTCAAAAGGTTCGCCATCACTGCTGTAGAGCAAAGTGCTTAACATAGTGCTGAGCACCAACCTCCACTCTTACCTTCACCATGAACCAATCACTTTCATCTTTGGCTTCCCATTAGAATCACCAGGGAAGCTTCTAAAAGATGATCACTACCCAAGCCATATCCCAGAGCAATGAAATTGGAATGGGAGTGGAGTGGAGCAGGAGTGGGGT